GATACTGGCCCCCTAGTCCCAGCGATCCCCTTATCCCCATCTCTTATAGAGAAATTTTTTGCCTAAATTTGGCATATCTTCATGTTATGGAGAATACCACCTACTAATTCGTGACTCCTGTCAAGATTGGGATGGAAACTTGTGCATTTCATTGCATTCTAACAAAAACATTTTTTATTTAAATCATCTTAAGTGTGCTAGATTCATAAAAATAAGGTGTGAGGGATTTTTTTAGGCTGAACTTTAGGATTTCTTTGTGGCTCCTACATTCACATTTCCTGTGAGAATCTCAGCTTATTGTTTTGTTCATGGATTGGAAGAGGAAAAACAACCTTCCCTGTTTTGACAATCTCCATATCCATATCTTATTTCTGAAAAATGGAGCGACTAAACTGACCTAGTTGAGTGAACTGAAATCAAGAAAATAGTCCCTCTGCTCCTGCAGGAACAGCCATTCATGTCAGGCTATATTTTCTTTTCCACAAATTCTTGTCCCAGATTCTAAAACTGTGATTTGCACCAGCCTTTTAAAACGTTAGGAGCAAACACATAGTGATTAGTATTTGTATTTTAGTTGATGTTTATTTGGATGGTTTGTAAGAAGCTTAGGCCTTAATACATTTGCTGTAATTCTAATATAAAATTAGTATAATTTGCATTCTGCCCATCAGTTGCATCCTTGATCTTCTATTAAATTGATTCTCACATTAATCTCTCAGCTTGTTAATGTTTTGCAACTTATCTGTGACATTAGCCCTTTAGGTCTTTCAGTGCTGATAGATGTTATCTATAAAGTTCCTTTGTAGTCTTCTATTTAACTTCATCAAGATCAGCTTTGAGCTCTGTATTTCAAGGCTGCACACTGTTCCTTCTCTTTGCAGCTTTGTGATACCCAGGATGAAGTTGCCCAGACTTTGGCAGGGGTGGGGATCAATGGTCTGGGTGAGTACACGCCTTGCACGGGCATCTCATCCTTTTGCCTACCACCACCCACAAATGACCGTGCCGCTGGCTCTCCTTCCTCAGAGAGTAGGCGGTTGTTCGCAGCAGCTTGGAGGAAGGAACTGGTCATTTGTTATAGAGGGAGAAAGATTTAACAGGATAGTTCTGTATGTCTCTGCTAACTTCTACTGATCTGCTGAGCCAGTTGCAAATGGAACATGGACTCCCTTAAACACGTGCATGTGTGAAAGTGCCAGTGGCCCTCAGAAGTTGGGTTGTGAACACTTGATTAGGATGGTATCATTAGTTCTAATTGGGGAGGCCCCTCTCTTCCTGTCTGTTTCATAGCACCTCCACTGTGTCATTTATTTATCTTTTCTGGAATGCTTTCCCCATCCCCTTGGCACCTCCACCTTCCCTAACATACAGGCTTCTGCAGTGACTCTTCCTTAGTCTGAAGTCTGGGTGTACCTCCAGGTGCTTAAAGATGTAGAGTTCTGCCACCCCAAGGGATTGACGGTTTGTTTTCTTTGACCAGCAGAGGTTGACACTGAGGAACTTGAGAGAGAGCTAGATAGTCTTCTTGTGGACTCGACAAAAGAGACTCTGGATCTGCCTCCCGTGCCCCAGAAGCCGCTGCTTACCACCATTTCTGATGCAGATCTTGAAGCTGAGTTGGAGAAACTCTCCTTTTCAGACAAAGGTATGCATAGATGCCAGCAAACAGCCTTGTGTGTCTGCTGTTGGGAACAAGCACAACCAAGGGTCTGTATTCACAACCTGTATGGTAGAGTGTCTGGCATTACTGTGTTGGAAACTGGTGACCTCTGGCAGTCTGGGCATAGAGGACAAATGTGCTTTGGGTCCAGGAGTCTTCTTCATGTTTCGTATCTGTATAGGTGAGGCGTAAAAGTTGAGGCACAGCAGAGTGAGCAGTGTAGGGTGGAGAGGAGAGCTTGGTCTCATGAGGTCACTGTTGTACCTACTCTGTGGACAGTGACTGCTGAATTTATGGCTGAGAATATGGAAATGCCATAGAGCAAGGGAACGTCCTCCTCTCTTCAGCCTTCATACTGTGGGATAGGAAAGTATTTGCAACAAGGTGTGTTGTGCATAATTCCTTTTAAAACTAAAGCACCCAGAAAGCTGCATGAGGCTACCTCGTGTGTATTCAGTGGTTTTTATCCAACCAAAAGCTCTCGAAAGGGCCAGGATGACTCAGTACCTAAAATACTGACTTCTTGGCCAAATTCTTGTATAAGCTACATCCCATATCTTTTCTTCTAGGGCCTTCATTGCTTCCTGCCTCCCATCTTGTAGGCACAGGCTCAGTGGGCCTTTAAGTTAGTAACCCACAAAAAACCTGTACCGGATCAGATGCCTAGTTCCTTTTGTCTCAAGTAGGAGTAAATTTCAGGTGCTTCAGATATTCTTTTGTTGAAGACAGATTATAGAATGGCCTGCCCATTGTATAGTTAGTAATTACCTTTTCTGGACTGAAACATGAACATTACATGTTTAGAAATATCACTCAGGCCTCCTGTTTAACGCTTTTGAAACTGAGACCATTCCTCAGTTCTGTATAAGTAAGTAATTTTTTCTCGTCTCCGTTGTCTTTAGGTTTAGCTGGTCTCCAACCCATCCTGCTGCTAAGCATTCACTTGTCTCCTTTCTTTCTTCTTTGCATCTTCCTTGGTAGGTGTGGCACAAAAGACTGAATCTACTTCCTCTGAACCCAAAAGAGTGGTGGCACTGGATCTCTGAAGATACAACAGCACCCTGCTGCTGTGATTCGAGAATAGTCTTAAGTTTGCTTAAATAGTGACCATAATTTTAAAGAGTAACTTTGGACGGTGGGCTAACACCCTTCTCTTTTTACGGGATATCACTTGCTAAGTGACATGATCTACTGCCATGACAATCCACCCTCTCTGGAACTGATACCAGCTGGTGTTGCTGTCATCTTAGTGCCAATATCTACATTGGTCCCAGTTTGACTGTTTATCCCAAGTCGCCTTCGGTGTTCATTATTTTCCTGGTGAGCTGTCTTCCCTGCTGGGATTACAGCCCTCACTGTTATGTCTAATGAAGATGAGAGCTCTACTTCATAACTGCTTGATTTTGTTACAGCTGATGTTGAGGAGAACCTGAAAAGCAGCAGTATCGCAGTTGCTCAACGTCTGGCTAGTTGTGTGGTTGTGTAAAACATTTGGCACATTACATATATACTGTCCTTAACAGTCAAGTGTCTGCAATAAGCTTGCACACCTGTCGATAGTGCTACCTATCTTTTCCTATTTGTATTTGCACGGTTGTGGACAACTAGACATGTGACTCTTTAACTGTAGGAAACTTTGTTCTCGTTGCCACAAGGGGGCAGCAATTGCCAGCACAAAATGACACTTGCTCCTCTTTCTGTAATAACAAGGCCTTAAAAAGAGACCTGCAAAGGGCTTAAAAATGAAGGTGTTGCTTTTTATGCTGTGATGAGATGGGCCTGCAAAGCTTATTTAAAAAAAGAAACTGCTTAGTTTGTGTTTTGGGGTTGTTTTTTTTAACCTGTGAAAACAGCAGGTAGTTTAAGTTTTACCTTCCCTGTTCGTTGCAGATTTTTAGGAGTCAGAGGGGGATTAAATGAGAGGTTATTTTTTTGCACTACCAGGGAGTAT